AGAATATCCTTCAGTAGAATAAACATTGCAATATTTAGAGGTAAAGGAGCAAATAGTACATTTTTAAAAAGTACATACATGTTATGCATGTGTGTGTGGAGAGACAGAGAAAAAAACATGGCAAATGTTAACATTTGGGGAATCTGAGTGAAGGGTATGTGTGAAAATTCTTTATACTTGCAACGTTTTACAAGTCTGAAATTATTTTGGTACAGAATGTTATATATATAAGTACTAGCCAAATTAAACTATTTAGAACTATTTCGTTTTCTCCTATTCCTATTTGTATTTGATTTTAAACCTACCTGTTCAAATTATTTACTAGTCTCCTTTTCTAAAATAACGCTTCCATTTAGAATTAATTATCCTGCAGACGATAAAACAACCAGTGATCTTGAACTCGTACTTGAACACCTAAATTAGACTTTAGCATTGTAGAGTCTTCCAAAGTCAAAATACATTTTAAAGTGAGTGGACTTATCCTAGTCATATAACGTGTATTAGACAATAGCTGTACAAGTGCCAAAGCTGGCAGTGGCTTCTGCTGTCGCAACACCTAAGCCCAAAGGAACATCCACGGGGACTTTTCAGTGATAGACTATGGAGAAGGAGTTGGACATTCCTTCTACTGTTTCTAACTAAACCAAATTTCAGCCATCCCCCAAATGGCTACCAATGCTGAGAGGTCTAAAGGAGAGCCAAAACCACTTGTGGTAGCATATCAGATAAACAGCTCCTGCTGATGCTTAATGAGTGCTTTTCAAAAATTCTAGCTTTCCTTTTACATTTCTAAACAGAAATCTATAGTGGGCCACTCCAACTCCATTCCCCAAGAAAATTAACCTCTTCCCAAATACTTCAAGAAAAAGAAAGACTGCAATGTTTACGATGATTAGGTGATTTACCTTACCTCACATGGATATAGCACTTTATGGTCACAAAGCACATATATTATCCTGTTTTCCCTTTACAATAGTCCTGTGAGGACAGACAGGACAGGTATTATCCCTGATTTAAAGATGAGAAAATTAAAGTACAAAAGTCAAGAGACTTTTTGTACTTTAGATTCTGTGAGTATTGAATTTAGGGCCACAACCCATGTCTTTCTATTCCCAGAGAAAAGAAAGATAATTACTGGCTAAAGATGTTTATGAGTTACAAAACTTTCAAAAGTAAGTTAAATGTGAAAATGAAACTGGCAATAACAGTATCTAAAGTACATTTCATTGAAGAAATTGGATGAAATATTTCCTGTGAGAATACATATACATCATTCAGTGTTGTAGAAAGAACACGGCTCCAGAGACCTGACTTCAAGTCCCAGCAAAACTGTACACCAGGCACATGAACATGAAGGAGGCATTTAACCTCTTCCTTTCAGCTTCTGCCTTTGTAAAACTGATTTTGCTTTCAGAGTTTGATAATCAAACGAGAACAGACTTTTGTACGTTGTAAAGCTTTATACACATGCTACTTATCATCACACCTTTATAAAACTGAATTCTTCATGCTCTAAACAGACTGGTTCTCTGTGTTTGAATGGCATCCAGTTGTTTCGGGCAAAAATCCTAGTCTCCTCCCTATTGCCTACCCCTCATAGCGAATTAAACTCCTTCACGATAAAGTCTAAATTCCTTAGCTTAAGAAGTCTTTTCATGTTCTGGCCTTGTCTCCTGACATTTCTCTATATCTATCTCAACCCTGCCATAATGGAACCACTTCATGTGTCCTAACATTTCTGAAATTTCTACCTCTAGGCACATGCTATAAAGTTCTTCCTGGAACATCCTTACTACACGCATCCTCATCTGGCTAATTCCTACGCGTCCTCCAAGACTCAGCTAAAGTTACTCTCGAAAGTGTTTCCCAAATCCTGTAATTTCAAGGAAATATGATGCTTCTAGGCTTCCAGTGACCCTGCACACACTTTAGTGTCGACCTTCACCATGCTGCACCAAGTGTTAGTAGCTCCATCTCTCCCTCTAGGACAACAGTGCCGAACTGAACTTTCTGTAGTGATGGAGATGAGCTACATGGGCACTTTCCAGTATGGTACCTACTAACCACATGTGGCTATTGAGCACTTGAAATGTGGCTAGTGCAACTAAAGAACTGGATTTTAGATTTTATTTAATTTTAATTACACTAAATTTAAATAGTCTCATGTGACTAGTAGCTATCTCATTGGACAGCACAGCTCTAGCAAACTGTCACCTCTTCAAGGAAAAGGACCATGCTTACTAGTCTCTGTATCCCTGGTACCTACCATAAGGTTTGGCATAGAGTATGATTCAGTGCTTGTTTAGAGAATAAGTGAAGGTGCAAATATCTATTAATACTTCTTATGTATTGTTGGGAAGTGCCACTCAACTACTCCAAGCATTCTACATTACCCTATTAAATTTGGCCAAACCTGGTCACATCTTGTAAAGTACAGCTCATTAATTATCATAGAAAAAACCCTTGGCAAAGCATTCATTTCTACTCAGGGCACTTCAGCTTCACAATCACTCTTAAATGACTTCCAGATGACTTCTGGACAAACGTTTACGCTGCTTATGAAATACTGCAATAGTCATAGCAGCATCGTTTTGGAATGTCAAAATCAACTACAGCATTTTATGAAGGAAAAACTATGGCTTTCTATCATGCTAATATTAACTTGGAAAACAAATTTCCTTGAATGTCTGAAGAATTCCTAGAATATTAAAGACCACTTTGAACTAGTCTTTAAAATTAACCATCAGCTCTCCTAATTGAATTCATTTCTGAAATGCCATGACTTGATTGGATGGGCTTCATCACTGTGCTAGCAGAGTAAGAAGAGAACTTGACCTAGCTACAGAGAACTAGCAGTCAAATTTAACTTGATTCCAATTAAAAGTCTCGGTTGACAGAATTCACGATGCTAACATATGCTCAGTCATTTGAGATTTTAAGAAATCCAAGATGTGAACTTTACAAAGCAAAGATTAATCAGATTTGACTCCATCCAGATCCCTCTATAAAATCCTTCAGGAATAACTGGCAATCAAAGGCATCAACAAAGGTGGCCTGCATACAACGCCCTCCCCGCCAACAAGGAGAGTTTCTCCATTTCCTATCTGGTATCATCACACATCTTACAGCTGTTATACAACGACTGAGCAACCACTTGTCAATGTCCTTTCATCACATAATCACTTCTGTAAAGAGAGAATAATCCTAAAGCCCAAAAAATAATCCTAATAATCCTAAAGCCTATTTCTAAGTGAAATAAAAAGGAACAGGTAAAGAATCTTGAAAGTTTGGCGAGGGAAGGGAGGGCCTCCAAATATATAGTTCACTCATTTTAAATTTAATTTAAAATTTTAATTAAAAATAATTAACATTCACTATAGGAAAAAACAAAAAATACAGGCAGACTAGCATACACTTAATTTTTTTTACCCAAAGATCACATTTGGTGTATGTATACTGTATATTCTAAGTGCCCTTTTTCCCTATAAACTTTTAAAATGTTAAAATAAATGAGCTAACATTTACATAATGCTCACTGTTTCAGGCACTGTCCTCAGCATTTAGCATGTGCTAATTCATTCTGTAGTCACTGAACACTATGAGAGAGGGATTATTATTATCCCCACCTTATATCTATGAAGAAACTGAGCAGAGAGGTTAAGTAACTTGACCCAGTTCACAGGCTTGTAAGTGGCAAATAATCGCTGTTCAGTTTTTGCTGTGGGAGCATTAGGTTCAACTAAGTAGTGTGGGAAGTAAAATGTTCTCCTTGATTTTATTAAACCCTTAACTGCTATTTCAATATTCTATCAGAAGCAGGTAGTAGAATCAGTATGTCTTATGTTTATGTCCTGTTCCCCATTCTGGGGGAGGGGCTGAGCTAAGATAGGTGCATTCACAGGACTTGGATCTAATATTCAACAGCTGGGGTGTATCACACATGGATCTAATATTCAACAGCTGGGGTGTATCACACAATCTGTAATACGAATTTAGATTCCTTCAGGGCTATATCTCTTCGATGTTCTTAGTATCAAACTGTCACCTTCTTACCTCCACATATTACATAATCCATTAGCTTGGTCTTTAAAAACTTGTATTTAACTTGATTCAGGTTTGATTTTGTTTCTTCACCTGGATTTAAAATATAGCTATATTTCCCAATTCCTAACTGGGATACTTCCTAATTCCTTTAAAACTTGAAAGTGCCTATTTCAATTATGAATTTCAAAAAAGTATGGAGAACAAGACAGAATGGAGGTTAAAATAATGTGGAAATTGTTTTTACCACATGTAAACTGTTAATCTATCCAAACTTGCAAGTCCCCCAAAACAATCCAACTAACAAACCTGTTTCAAAGACAGAGCCTCCCTACAATTCCTTTGTCACTGATCACTCCCTTCTCCCTTAGCCCTACTCATCTTCTCAGAAATTAGAAATGTGAGATGCAACATGACAAGTTCTGAAGCATTCTTAAAGATAAGAATAGTTTTAGAGATCTGGACGATGTTCCATGCCTTCATCCCATCACCAAAGGTCACCTACAAATGTCCGAGGGCACCCTCAAACCACACTCAGCTTTCTGCTAACTGTCAAAGTTGTCCACTGTTATCGTGACCCTGAAACACCTTGTGTTTTTTTTTTTTTTTTTATATGGTTGTGTTACCCATACAGCAACTCCTTTGGCAACAGTGGTAATTACATAGCAGCCTTGTTATCTCAGCATAACACTGTAATTAACTTGTGTCACTGCAGCGTTCATGGTTAAACTAATTGCAGCAAAAAAGTCCTATGAAAGTAGCATTTTTTAGATCTGGCTTTCAAAAATAGCTTCAGCAATTACACTGCTTTAAAAAAAAGTCAAGACCCCTCCTCAAAAAAGTCATAATTTCTTCTGCACAAAGCACACTTCTGAATATCCCCTAACAGCAAACATCAAACTCTGTTGTAGAAGCTTCCAAAGAGAACAGCAAAAAGAATTTCTTAAAGAAATACTTACAGCTCTTCCAGAAAAGGAAAATTCTTAAATGCATCTTCTGGCAATTGAGTAATGTTGTTCATACTGATGTCCCTGGAAAACATAAAGTTAAAAGGATCGTTAACTAAGTAATATTAGACTTACAGCATTCAGTTCAATGAAAAAGTAATTGAGTGCTGAAAATTTATAAAGCCAGAAAAATGAGCATAGACGGCATACATAGGAATAATCATAATTTGACTCTGAATACAATGATGAGAAAATATAAAAAAGTTAAATCTTTTATTATAAATTATGCTCTATAATTTAGAAACATCCAACATGATTCTTCTTTACCCAGACCCTGGATTTTCCCCATTTAAGTATCTTTGAAAAAGAAGTTTCAAACTACCTACAATGAGTAGGTCAGTGTGGCTTCCCATTCTCCAGTACTCAAAGTACTGCGCCTGACAGAAATCAACAAATGGATACCCCAGGATCTGATCGAATACATTTTCAGGCAAGCGTGGCTTCTGGAGCCACTGTCAAGGATAGAAAAATGTCCTAGCTCTACCACAGTCATATTTTCTGAAAAACTTATAAAAGTCCCGCAGGTAATAGTTCTAAGTGGATTTCATTTTTAGCCCATGAACAGATGCAGGCTAGAGACAAGTGCATACACGACAGGTATGCAATCCAGCTGCAGCTTCCCCTTCCAGAGTCAGCAGAAAGAAGAGAACTCACTCCATGATATAACTCCAAAATTAGCTAATCCAAACAGCTACAAAACACTTTATTAACCATTTCCTTCTTCCCTAGCAGCTGCCTTATAAGTTGGCTTTCTCCTTCCAGATTCCACTTAATATCAACACCAAGAAAGACAATTTAACACAGTCTCACAAGGGGAAAGCCCCAGCATGCACTGCGTCAGCTGTCTCACTCAGGTTCCTCTGCCTCTCATCTAGTGTTGAATTCTGTGGTTGAGTCCTCGCTTCTCTTCTCTCTTAAAATCACTATAAAAATTCACGTGTAACATTCTCTTTACTAGATTAGACATACTGGTAGAAAAGAAATCAAGCACACCAAAGTCATTTTCATCATTTCAGTCAAGTGAAATTTTCTTTTAAAGGAAAGCACCAAGGTAGGCAAGTCCTCTCTCCCCATCTGTTCTTCCATTAAGATTCAGGAATGGAGTTTGCACTCCTTCTTACTAGCCCTTCTCAAGGCAGGTTTGGAATTTTCTTTTTTGGCTAGGGAAGGATAGTAACAACAGCAGCAAACCAGCAGCAGCAGCCAACATGCAGTGAATGCTCAAAACATAAGACTGCACATAGAGTCTCACTTTACAAATGGGGAAACTGAGGCTTGCTGAGGTAAACTAACCTTCCCGAGGCCATTCAACAAGAAAGTATATAACAGGAAATGTAAACTCCAGAGCCCATGATTTTAATTACTCAGCCTTCTTAAGTATCTTTTGAATCCTGTTAACTCCTCCCCAGCGGTAGTCAAGATATAAAGCAAACCCTTAAATCCTATCAAGGTTAAAAAGCAGGAGCGATACTGCCTCAAGACCCTGGAACAATCTCAGGAAGAACCATAAATAGCCTTAGCAATTGAGGAACCAAATTTTATAATTTCTTAGAATGAAACTTTTCTTCAGATGAATCCTCATGTACATTTCACAATTTTACATCATTGAGAATAATTCAAATCCTTTTAAGAAGAACGATATTAACAACGTCTCCAGAAATTGTTATGTTTAAACATTTGCCCCAATGCTCCTTTAGTCAGATACTATTATGGGGAGAAGGGAAACCCTTTGTTTTTCATAAATACTCTAGCAGGACACTGGAGAAACAGCATCAAAATTGGAGTTAGAAGAAGCAGGTTCAACTCCAGGCACTGCAATTTAGCTACTATGTAATCCTGCTCATCTGTAAAATGAAGGATTTGAACTAATAGGTTGTGTGGCTTCTCAGCTTGACATTCTATACTTCCATGATTCATCTTTTTTCTGTCATTTTCATGGATGAGCCCATGCTTCCTGAAGAAGATACCTGAGGTTCATTTTATGGAAAAGACATGTTTTTGAAAAGTTTACCATATAGCAAAACTTAAAGACTACTGAACTGCCATTATAAAACTACTGAGTCGGTCCCACTGAAAACACATTTGGCTTCAACCAGTGAAATTCTTAAGATTACAATAAAACTTTTAATCCTATGGAAAGGCAAAATAATAATCTGATATGAGTAAACAGTGATTCTATAAAATATCACACAATTTTGGTTCATTTTTGTCTTTCCAATAAAAAAAGAAAGAAGGACAACCATAATTTATTGCTTTACAAAATGAGACACTCCATGTAGTTTCCTCTAAGCTTGGCACACCTGAATCTAGGTAAGTATCAAAGTAAGAGGAAAACTGATTGTCTTATCAGAAAAAGTCTAGACAGAAATGACTGACTTATCAGAAAAAAACACATAACTAGAGAGAATTCACACCACGCTATTCTCTGCATTCCAATTTTTTAAAATAGATTTGTAGTGTTATTTGGTGCTATTGAGTTGATTCCAACTCGTAGTGGCCCTATGTACAACAGAATGAAACACTGCCAGGACCTGCACCATCCTCACAATTGTTGCTATGTTTGAGCCCATTGTGCAGCCATTGTGTCAATCCATCTCGTTGAGAGTCTTCCCTTTTTTCGCTGACCCTCTACTTTACCAGTCATGATGTTCTTTCTCCAGGGACTGGTCCCTCCAGATAACATGTCCAAAGTACAACAGATGAAGTCTCATCATCCTCGCTTCTAAGGAGCAATCTGGCTATATTTCTTCCAAGACAGACTTGTTTGTTCTTCTGGCAGTCCGTGGTATATTCAACATTCTTTGCCAACACCATAATTTAAAGGCATCAATTCTTCTTCGGTCTTCTTTATTCATTGTCCAGGTTTTGCACGCATATGAGGTGACTGAAAACACCATGGCTTGGGTCAGGTGCACCTTAGCCCTTAAAGTGACATATTTGCTTTTTAATACTTTAAAGAGGTCTTTTGCAGCAAATTTGCCCAATGCAATGTGTCGTTTGATGTTTTGACTGCTGCTCCTTCCATGGGTGTTGATCGTGGATCCAAGTAAAATGAAATCCTTGACACATATATAATTCTCTCATTTCTTCTCTCAGAGTTAACAAGACATAACAGGAAGTTTTGTTGTGAGCTGTAAATGTAATTAGTAGAACTCCACATATACAAACTAATATATACCAAATATGTGGTGAGGTTTTGTTTCAAAGTTTCAGGTTGAGGAGCAACACTTGTTTCCGAATTGTTCTGAATTTCACAAACCCAGAGAGGTTCTATCTTTATAGGTGTTTTTTCCATCATACTTTCCGAGTTTTAGTTACAAAACGTGTATGAATAAAGTAAAGAAAAAGAAAAGGGGGTGAGGGGGAGGCTACAAGATGTTATCTCCAGAGAAGCTCTGGAAACATGTGGTTACAAAGTATAAGGTGGGTGGGTATTCATTTAAAATAATGAGGGCTAATGGTGATAAACAATCTACACACAGTCTTAAGAGTAGATTCCAGACCTGACATCACTAACACCGGCATGAAAATTGAAGATGCACAGACTTTAAAATTAAAACATTAGACAGAAGGCTGGGAAGGATGGGTTAAACTGTAACAGTTTACAAATGGCAGCCATATGCCAATAATCATAAATATATTAGACACAAAGCCATAAAAATTATTGAAATAAATAAAAGGAAGTTGAACGGAAAACTTCAGCTAGAAGATGCACCTTCAGGTGCACCTCACATAAGCAACACACTCTTACCAGTAACATCTGTAATTAAACCCAGTAATTCACCATCCATGGCTGCTAAGAATAAATAAATATAACACAGAAAACAAACAAACAAAAAAAAAAACACACAAAGCCAGAGCACCACCAATTTACAATTGCCTCTGAAGGACAATTTCAAGAAAGCTGACTTCGTCTCGACTTCGAGCTAGCCTGGTATATATAGCTGGAAGTGTGCAGGCTTTGGAGACAGACAGACCAAGATTCAACTATGGACTCATGACCTATGAGCTGTGTGATCTTGGGCAAGCTGATTTATTTTTCCTGAGCTCTCGCTCCTTCATTTGTTAAATGGAGGTAATAATAACAACCTTGTAGGTTACTGTGAAGATCAGAAAATGTAAAGTAACATAAGTTCATCAAGAAATGGTTATTATCTTATCATCTTCGAAGTTTTTGCTGCTCCTGAAAGCTGTGTGAATCCAGTGGACAGACTTAACTAACGGCAAGCCAACCATCACACCCCACCTCTGATGGCCTTCCCAGAAAAAAATCACTCTTACATAAAAGAAACACTAAATTGTGTAAAAGACTTAGAACAGAGAGCCGTTTATAACTACAAAACTAGACTCTTAAGTTCCCGAAACATGGAAGAGCCCTTCAAGATCAAATACTATATTTCATTTTAAAAAAAGCTGAGGCCCAGTTCATCAAAAAGAAATTATATTCTCATAGAAAATTTTTGGAAGGACAAGGCAAGACAAGATTCATTCTCAAAAAGATTAGGATGACTCATGCAGTTTAGTGATAAAGCAGGGGATAAAATCCAGAACTTTTGTTAGTAAGAAAAAATACACTTGAATGTATGCTTTCTGTGCATATCTGTTTTCATAACAGATTTCTTTGGTTAGGTTTCTCAAGGTACACTAACTGGAACAGAGCATATGTCTGCACATTACACCCACACAATGCAATATTCCCAGCTTTAACACAGAGCTCAGAAATACAAAAGCACATTACCTCACTAGAAAGATAAAGCTGAATGCCCAAACAGCAGCAGTCATCAATTTCAAAATTAAAATTTAAAGGGTATAATTGTTTAATTGAAACTTCTAAAACTCCCCAGTGGTTAAACTCTCATCTTTTTTTCCCCATAAAATTCACTAATGCTAAAGTATCTACAGAGTAAAGAAGAACATCATGTTTCAACAACGTGCCTTTTAAAATCCCCATAAAATGCTCCCTAAGCAAGCTTAACCTGTTTGCTGATGGCCAAGTGTGTACCACTGTGGACTCTGCCATTGCG